CCGCCGGCTTCCCCCGAGGCTTTCAAAGCCGCGGAGGGGCTCCGGCGGCGGGGCATCCGGCGTACAAGACGACCCCCGATTTTTGGGGGATGTTTTTTAACTTCAGAGGTCGTCTTGTACGCCGGAATATACGGTATCTTTTTTGAGATGGGACAACCACATCTGCTTGCGGTATTAAAGGTGTGGGCATACCATGGATTTATATAGAGGCAATATGATATTTTCTTATTGTCTCTCTCCAGGATTATCCCTAGGGGAGTGCAGGATCAGAGGCAACCCCCCTCTGCCCTAGCCCCACCTTTGCCTCGCCTCTTCCTACTCTGCTGCCGCTCCACTTGCATTGTCAGAGGTATTTTGAATATCTAAGTACATTATATCCACTGGCTCGCCCTTGTGGACATGCTTGTTGGCTTTCAAAGAATTCTAGTAGATTTGTGAGTCATGATATCCCTTTACAAAAATGATGTTGACACATCCCCAACAAATTGTTTAATCTATGTGTTTGATGATTCTGTTCTTCACTATGGCTTCAGCTAGTTTGTCAGAGGCTTGTAACTGCTGCAATCACCTCTGGAGCCTTTTTTTTGAAAAATTGGTATCACATTAGCTATCCTCCAGTCATCTGGTACAGAAGCTGATTTAAATGATAGGTTATATACCACAGTAGTTCTGTAATTTCACATTTGAATTCTCTCAGAACTCTTGGGTAAATACCATGTGGTCTTGGTGACTTGCTACTGCTTAGTTCATCATTTTGTTTCAAAATCATCTCTAATGATACCTCAGACTGAGACAGTTCCTCAGATTTGTATCTGAGAAATGAATTACTGTGGCCTGTGTTACAGAGGAATTGGCTACTACATCCTGAACTATGCAGTTTCTTGGAATAGGTCTTCTTTATTAGGTACAGAGAATTATGATCAGGGCTTGACAAATTATACAATCTACTCGCCCGTGGCGAGTAGATTGTAACCCGGAAGAGCCGGGTTCCAGCGATCTACGTATGCACAGAATGATCTGCGCATGCGCAGATCACCGGACAGCACGGCTGGCGAGCAGGGCTCGCCGTGGTTCGGCAGGCCCTGATTATAATAATCCAGCCTAGATGTCTGACAGTTTGATAGATGGGATTGTAATGCCTCGAGGAATTCTCCACTTTTTCCTCTTCCTGCTAGGATTCCTTCAGCCTGATTCTGATTCAGACAGCGCCTCTCTTTCCTGATGCTGGTGTCTCAGAAGGCTTGGAGACTGTGGTCTTCAGTTGATGGACGGGAGATGTACATACAGCTGGCACTTCAGCCCATGCTATTGCACTAGCTTTCCCAAAAGCTTCACACATTAAAAGGAATGAGAAAAGAACGAAGCCTTGTAGGACCCTGGTGTGAGGGGCCTAGAGGCAGTTGTTCCTGACAGTCGCTTGGGATCATTCTCAGAGGAAAGATCTGAGCCATGGCAGGACATTTTCCATTCATCCCTGGGTGCTTTTGGAGATGGCACAGGAGAGCTGGATCACATGCTGCAAAGTGGTTCAGCGTACTCACTTAAACCTTGCTTCTTCCAGACAGACCTTGCTATAACCTGCAGTCACCTGATCTGGGAGGAAACCAGGTGTGGGCAGGAGGGAGCTGGGGCTTCAGATCTTCTCAAAGGCCCAGTTCACACCATGCTGTGACAAGACGTAAATAATGTATCTGATAGAAAGTTGGCCAAAACCATGAAACAGCTGCTTATAAATGGAATCTTGCTTGCTGGATAGAAAGCTCCTTGTAAGGTATTATTCATCTGGGTTATAGCTTGAGATCTTTCACTTGAATGTTATGAGTTGGACGTGAGAATATGCACATTTAAATATGCTGCTGTCTCCAGACAGGAGGGGAAACTAATGCAAGCAACATTCAAGAATCTGGATCTCACTTAGGGAAATGAAGTTTACTGTAGATAATAAGAACTAATTAGTCTAAACCCAGAGCTGGCTTGTGTGTGACAGAACAGTAGTCCAGACCAAAGATTTGGGGATCAGAATAGGGAAAAGCTCTTGAAGGAACAGTGGACTTTGTGTTCATTTCCTCAACTTTATATTTTCAAGTACCTGGCAAGTTAGAATTGCTAGGCAGATGTTCTTTGGCTCTCTTGGATGGGGACTTTTTGGAAAGATTCACAAAATCTACTTATTGGTGTCTTACTGAAAGCAGGATAAAAAGAAAAATTGTGGTTTTAATTTTTAAAAAGTGACCCTGTGCACTAGTGGGGTTTCTGAACAAACTATTTTTAAACTTCGCTTAAAAAAAATGGCTGAAGTCTGAAATTTAGCTTGGACATAAATCCTCCTTGAGGATGCATGCTTTTGTTTTGAGGAGTAAAAAGAAGAGACACTGAAAACCTGACTGAGGGGAAAAAATGTCATCTGAGTCTGCTCACTGAGCATTTGTTAAAACTCCCTCCCATTTCAACATCACTTACATTTTCCAGGGTTGAGGAGGGCCCTGACCAAACAGATCAGCTGGTGCTGGGAGGGTAAAAGTGTAGGTGGAGGATTTTGCAGCAGAGAAAAGTGCAGGTGCAGAAAATCAAGAAGCCCGTGATTTTAGAATGCCTCTGACTTTCGATGCAATTGAAGTGTAAATTGTATGAAAACTGTTTCCAGCCAAAAGGTGAGAATTCTCTCTCCTCTGATACTGAAATAGGTATGGTCTTCAAAGCCAAATTAACACTACATAAGAAATTAAGGTAAAAAGTTAATGACAGCACATCTGTACGCTCAGTGAACTTGTATGTAAGCACCAATCTTTCAGGTGCTTACAGGTGCTCACGTAAAATCACAATCAAGATACAGAGTTTTGGAAGGGATAAAAACACAAGGTTCAAGTTCTGATTTTTGGGGATTTGGATGAGACTTGTATTGGGGCAGATCACATCTGCCTACTACGGAGTTTTTGCATCTTCCTCTGGGGCAGTTCTGTCACAGACAAATACAGATGGACACCAAGTTATACCCACTCTAATAATTCCTATGTTCAAATGATTAAGATGCCTAGGACACCGTGGATGAATTAAGCTGTGGCATGCATTTTACTGTAGATGGTAGCAATATTCAGGTAGGTGATGGGATGGATCACTTGTTCTCTCCATTCCCTCTGGGGTACCTGGCATTGGCCACTGTCTGCAAATGGGATACTGGCAGTGTTCACTCTAAGATTTTCCATCCATGAGCAGAGTGAATTTTGTCTTGTGCACCAATATTGAGGTCGTGCGCTTGTTTGGGCGTGTGCCACCATGGCACCCACCAGTTGCGCTGTTCCCTGTGAGACTCTACAAGCACAGAGACTCCCACCTGCCCCCACCCCCATAGGGAGAAGGTGAGAGTTTGCCCCTCCCCCCCTGCACAGGGAGCACTGCTCCTGGGGCAGCCTGTGTGCAGGGCAGCGGCTGCCCCAGGTTGCTCCCCATGGGGCTGGCTGCAAGTCCCCACCTGGAACAGAAGCAAGCTGCTGCCAGCCCCCAGGGTTTGCAGGGAGTGGGAGGCTGGGGGTGTGGTAGTGACATGTGGGGAGCTGGGGTGGTGGGCAGCAGAGGAATGAAGAGGGCAAGGGGCTCTGAGAGCCAGAGGGCAGTGGGGGGTGGAGGGGAGGGATGCAGGGGGCCCCAGCCAGGGTCAGGCCCCGGTGCAGATCCAGCGGCTGCTGCAGGGGCCAGGGCCGCAGCCCAGCTCCAGCTCTGGTAGCTGCCCACTACTTGGCCTGCCCCAAGAACAGCTGGGCAGCCACCATGTGGCCCTGGCCCCAGCTCCAGCCCTGGGGATTTGGGGACAGCAGAGGGCTGCCTGGCTGAGCCCACCAAGCCTAGTGGGGAGGTGGGAGGGATTCAAACTCTCTGCATGCCCCCAAGGGGTACTTTGTGTACTTGGCTAGATAGACCTTTGGTCTGACTCAGTCTGGCTGGTCTTGTGCAGGAAGGTGTGTACAACAAGGAATGCAGAATGTGCACCACCACAGACTTACTATGCCTCACTTTGTGACTTTAGCAGTGTATCCTTAGGGTCAGATCCTGCAATTTACA